ATGAATCAAGTACTACCATACCTTGATTTCTACGTCTAGCGCAAGTGTGGCCTATTCAGGGACCCACTCCAAATCCGGTTTACTTCCGACGACTGCAGTGAGAGAAGACGAAACCCAAATGAACCGTCGGCGTTTGGTTGAAGTGCCCAATATGACGTGGACTTCAGGGGCCTCACCCCTGACCGAAAGTCACTTCGACGACTGAGGGGTCATCGAAGCTGACTTCGGAAGGCCATTTAAGCGACTTGCGTTCTGTGAGGAGTAAGAAGTGGCGAGGGTACAAAACAAAACACAACGGTAATAATCAGAGAGAGGCAAACACGCGACCCTATTCGATTATTACGATTACGCTCCTTCTTTTTTCTTTTTATTGTTACCCAACCGAAGTGTTTTGCAAAATGCCAAAATGCCCCGGCACCAAACGTAGGCGGGCCGGTTAGTCGTACCCTTGGAAAAGAGTGTACTTTCATGGACGAGAGATCGTCCCCTGACTTTTCCGCCCACCATCCGGAGTTACCTTTATTTAAGGATCAAGCCTAAAAAAAGTGACCACTTGCGTGTATAAGCCCTTGATTAGCCTTGATATCAGGTGACCTTTTCATGAGGCCAACAACTTTCGCGGATAAATTACCAAGAGAATTGGAACAAAACTGAGAAAGGAGAGTAAAAAGGTAAAAAACACCAAGAACGTTAACAATAACGTTGAGAAGCATTAACATAAAACCAGAGAAAACTCACCGTAAACAATCCCATTTCCGTTCCTAACCCGGAGTGCTACGAAACCCCAAATATTTAACACCGACCATTTTTTTGGGAAAGTCAGTATCACCTCATCACTCATGTCCAGGTGTCTAAACCGATCACACTAACATCCAGAACAAGGTATTTGACAGTGGTCACCCCATATAACCGAACATCCTAAAGGAACTTGTGTGACGGGTCATGACAATATATGTGTCACTTTATACGTGACACGCTAACTAGGGTATATAGGGACCGTCTTAATTCCCCGAACACACACAAAATGGGCCATTTAAGTACATTACACACGAAGGGTAGTCAATTAAAAGGGACACACGCGTCTCTAACTCAATAATGCCCGTCGCGCTCGAGGGGTTGATGTCACATAGTAAGAGAAATGTGAAAGAAGGTAGGGTAGATGTCCAAACTATACGTTTCTGCTGTCTGAAAGACAAAGAATTGCCCGACAAGCACCTAAAACACACAAACAGATCACTAATTTCCAACCCTCGGCGGAAAGGTAAACTCGCCACTCGACGACTTACGTTTATCGACAAACAATTCCCCGTTAGTATTACGTCACAAGGTTAGTAGCTAAAAGGTAGAGCGTCCATTACTACAATTTTATCCCCTTATCGTTTCTGCGTTATCTTTTAAACAACACAAAATCATATTGACGCAAAGAATAACACGACTTAATCGCAGTTCAGTTTTCGAAATTCCACACAATAAGAGAACACATACAAGAAAAAGAACCACTCCTCCGGTGTCCTCTTCGGACGCTGAGAGCACATTAATAGGGAGGGACACAATTAACACAAGGAAAGATTCATCCTCGACGATTATATTAAGTCACTTCTAATGACAGTGAGTATAAGGAAGCGTCTTACAGTGACCAGTCGTTAAACGTCCGACTAAATTCCGTGCTGCACTCCAACACTTTGCCAGAAGAAATCCACAAAAAAGTGACCCAACCATTTTCAGATGCCCACAATCATGCCAATTACTTATCTACCACACCCACTTTTGAATTATTTACACACCACACATTTTTTTAGTTTTGTTTATTTATATTTACCTACACAAGGACCTCTCTGAAATTGTTCAAGTACAAAAACGTAACCGCACTAAACGGTGGGTACGTAAAGTAGCATACAAAGTCACTAAAAACCGTGAAGCTACTATTAAGTAAACTGTCCGACGAGGTCGGGTAATCACACAAATTAAAAAACCGGCCCTTTCACACACGTCTCACACAACACAGACGAGAACCCAGGTGGGACACAGTTTTAATTAAAAAAACACACAAAAAAAATTTGGGAATTATGTGGTGTACTCACAAGGTTACTTAGAGACATTTGGACGTGACCCTTACATACTCATGTGTCTTTGATTTGGTGTGGGTGTGTGTGTGTCGGTGTGTGTGTGTGTGGGTGTGTGTGTGTGCTGTGTGTGTGTGTGTGGGTGTAGTGGTGTGTGTGTAATGTGGTGTGTGTGAGGTGGTGTGTGTGTGTGTGTGTAATAAAAATGTTGGGTGTGTCTGTGTGTAAAGTGTGTGTGTGTCTCTGGATCTTACACAACAAGAATCACAATAAAAACGAGAAGACACACGGGTCATTAAGAGACCGACTACATGTGACTCACAACCAAATTACCTTCGGGGTTAGTTGACCGACCTAAAAACTCTAGGTCTGCTGGTCGTGTGTGTGTGTGGAAGTGTGTGTGGTGTTGTGTCGTGTGTGTATGTGTGTGTGTGTAGTGTGTGATGTGTGTGTGTGTGTGTGTGTGTAAATGATGGTGTGTTGTGTGTGTGTGTTTGTGTGTGTGTGGTGTGTGTGTGTGTGGTGTGTGGTGTGTGTGTGTGGTGTGTGACAATCCCTCGGTCTCTCGCGACGACAGCTACCTCTGCCTAACTCCTGCTACTCTAATAAAGACGGTCCCAAAAAAACAGACACTCTACCAAGATCGCAGGGTTCGAGGAAGTGTGGGGGATAATCGTGCCGCTTCTTCCCCTCCACGTGCCCTGGCCTTCCCACCTTTTTTCTTATCCCAATTTGGAGTTGTCTCTGTCACTGAGCCCACCTAATGATAGTTACAATAATTAGGTAAATTAGGAACAAACTGTAACAACAAAGAACACAAAATGTCGACGTCCGTGATGTACACAAGAAACAAAAACAAAAACACACATTGTAAGAAAAAAGTGGGGTATAATCGAAACGGACAACCAGGTAGTTTTCTTACCTTCCACTACTTTTGCGGTTGGTTTCACTAACAACAGAGGCTAATACGTGTCCGCTATCCCAAGCCTCAATTGTGCTATTTTAGCAAAGACCTCCAGACAAGGAAAGACAAAATGGTGATAAACCTCTCAAATAATCGTAATAGATTACTCGACTCTTTGCTGTGTCGGGCTACCGTCGAAACAAATCGATACCAACATATCATTTTGAACACAGATATTCTTTCTTTCTATCCAACATATTGAAGATAAAGTAGATCGTGGTGGTACAAAATCAGTTGTAGTCGAAAACAAGGAGCCCTCGACACAAAACAACCAAATGTTAATTTCGAAAGTGAAAGGATAGTGCGAAGTTTCGAACCAGGGTTGGTGGTTGGACCTACCCGTGACAAGTCGTGTGTTATTCCTGTATGACACTAATTTGCCAACCTCAGAATTTGTATTCGATATGATCTTATTATACGGTAGTCCGGTCAAGGATCGCTGCCACTCATAATGCGCGAAAGTGTGGCCTCATGAAGTGGGCTTGAAAAAGGGCAAATCAAGGCAATCACGGACCTAAAACGTAGTGTGGTTTTTCTCTTGAATCAGTCTCTTGAACATGGGGGGTAAACACATCACGACGATCTCTCCACCCTGATAGGACCCCTCTTTTTTCATGTTAAAAGACCTAACCGACCCGCTTACGTTGGTGCGTGACATTTTGAGACCTTTTAACAAAAACTCGGCGGTAACATAAACACCATAATCGTAATAATCGTATCGGGGCGCGTGGTTGCCCTCTCTTCTGATTGAATACCGTGTGTTTTTTTTGTACCCTCGCCACCTCTACTCCTCCACGCCGCAAAGACCGCAAATAGCCCTTCCGAAGTCATCTTCGACGACCCTGAGGGTCGTCGAAATGACTTCGGTCAGGGGTTGAGGCCCCTGAAGACGGCGCCCTGAAGCCCACCGCCATATGCGGCACTTCAACAAACGTCGGACGGCTTTGGGTTTCGCTTCTGCTTCTGCACATGC